CAAGGAGTGTCACCGAACGGAGTCGTGCCGATTGCCGGTCAGCCTGCTAGGAACCCAGTTTGCCACAGTCGGGAAAGCGAGGAACGTGTCAGCTGCTCCCCCATTTCACTGAGAGCTCAGGAGCACTGGAAGAGCTCAGACTGACTGGACAGAGGTTGCTGAAGAAGGTTGCCTGGCTCAACAAACCCCCAGAGCCGATGACTTCACCAACGTTAGTTTTGAAAGAAACCTTCTGCAATTTTCAGTATTGTTTGTGCCCCCAGCTTGTCGTTATCCCATTGTTTCTCCTCCACTCCAGAAAACTCTAGCCTCTGCACTGCAGACATTGAGAAAACCGGCAAGCAAGCAAGCCCCTTTGGGGCTGAGCAGCTGTTCAGCTGGTCTCCTCCATGCCCACGTGAAGCTGCCCACTGGGCAGGCCACCCCGCCTCACCCCGGCCCCGTGATTTCTGCTCGCCGAGGAAGGGGTCTCCCACGGGACCCCGCGGCAGTAGAAGAGCTGCAAGGTGCTTCTCCTGCGCGGGAGCCAACGGTGTGTGGTGGGCTTCCCAAGCTGCTGCACAGCCCTTGCTGTCCTGCGCCTCTCCATGTGCTGCTGCCCTGCAGACGGACGGCTGTCACGTCAGAGGAAAACGAAGGAGCCACAACTGGCCCCCGCGCAGCTTGCTGCCCAGCACGCAGCTGGAGTAGCTGGAGCTGTCTGATGTTATTTACATCAGAGAAAGAAGGAAGGCAATAGGAGGGAGATTTTACATGAAGTGAGAGAACTAGTGTTGGTGAATGTTCAGTCTCACGGCTTGGCATGCACAGCTAACGAGCCCTGCGGAGGACAGCCCCTGGGGTCTCACTGTGTGCGAGATGCAGCATGCTGCGGGGCTGGGGCTGCAGGGCTGGGGCTGCGAAGGGTCTGCCCGACCGGCTCCGCCACGCCACGGAGCATGGGAGTGGGCTCCTCTCTGACACGAGCACCGTGGGGTTTTCAAATGCCTTCAGCTGGCCTGCGTTCACATGCCCTTCAGCTGTCCCCCCAGCGTGGTAAATACCCCATACGCACCCTACTCGGCTTGCTGGCGTAACAGTGTTGACCCACTCCTTCAGTTGCTCATTTCTTCCTCTGCCCATCGCCAGACTGAAGGGTGCTCCCCCACCTCCAGTGTGTCCCAGCGTAGTGCCATTCCTCCTCCTCACCCTGCCATTCCTCCACGTGTGTCTCCACACAGCAAGAAACGCCGCGGATTCACTCCCACCATCCTTGCCCCTGCGGTGGGAGTGACAGGGTGATGTGGTGTCAGCGGGCTGGCAGAGAGCTCCACTGTGGAGGGAGAAAAACGGAGCGGCAGGTGCCGAGTGGCCTGGTGGTGCAGGGAGAAAGAAGG